GGTACCTTTAGTGGGCACCAGCAGGGTCTACATGGACCAATTAATGCACAGCCAGTTTAATGTGCTTTAGAAATCACACCACCCCCCCATAGCCCACATTGCTGCTCCAGGTACACAAGCCCTTACAGACAAGTAGCCATTTTGGAGAGCTTTTTGGTGTTTCTTGGATAAACACCAATTTTAATGATTTTTGTTGTATCAGGTGTTTTATGGGTGTTCATTGATTAAAACAAAATCCAAAGCCCTGCCATTAGCAATGCTGTTGTTTGTTTTTATCTGTTTTAGATCGTACTCTCTTCAGGGCAGGGATCATATCATCCTGTGTGTTTGTACAGTGCCTCACTCAGAGGCAGCCTGGTCCTTTTAGACAGGGCTTTGGAGCTGTGCTCCGGCTCTGCTCCAGCTCCGGGCAAAAACCTGCAGCTCCACTACTCCGGAGCTGCTCTGCGCTCCAGCTCCGGGCTCTGCTCCAAAGCCCTGCTTTTAGGGGCCTTTGATTGTGGAGTTACCATGATACAAATAATAAATTTTAGTAAAACATAGTAAAGTTCAAGCCTGTCTGGTATCTCTGAGCATCCAACTTGGATTAGAACCTTCTGGGAGGGTCGTATTAAAGGTGTGATACTCAAGGGACAGATGAATTGTAGTTGATTTTTTTTGTTTGTTTTTTCACTGTGCTCTGTGATGGAGTTATCCCCTGCAGAGCCATCAATATCGACCATGTAATCATTTCTCTGTTCCTGCTTAGTCGATCAAATCCAAATGCCTGTAATGGAGGCTTATACGACATTGTCTGAAGCTGGGCTCCCTGGGGGATTAAGTTTTAATGACAGATTTTTAATTTAGAAAGGTTTTGATGAGAGGATGGAATTAGTAAACCCTTTATCATAGCTCAGATGTGAAGAGGCAAATCCTCAGCTGAGCACCCAGCACAAGGAGCTTAGATGGTGCCATGGAGATATGCCGGAGAAGGGGAGAATAATTCTTTTCCCAACCCCCTCCCCAAGCAGAACAGCAGCTGCAGAGCCCCTCTGATCACTCGGGAACCCTAAGGTACGGAAGTAGCACCCACAGCCCTAATGCTTCCTGTACAGTCAGGTGTTATTGTGAAATTACTTTAGAAGCTGCCCCAAGTTGTTTATCATGGAAAAACACCCCAGCAACCCAGCTCCTGTGGTCTTGATGCAAGAAGCTCATGGTCTGCAGCATCCACGTCCCGCCAAGGTGGTGTCGCACCAGAATGGCCAGTTGCTAGGGATAATACAGAAGTTTGAGGGGTGTGTGTGTGTGTGTGTGTGTGTTGCTAGGGCTAATGCAGAAGTTTGAGAGGGGTGTGTGTACACACGCTTGCACTGTTTTTCATTGGCCCCCAATGGAATACATGTCCAGTGTGGTGAGTCTTCTGAATCTCTAATTTCCTTGACTTTGTCATGAAGCGAGCGTCCAGCACAGATCCTGTGTATCGTTAGGTGCTGGGGCTGCTGCTAGCCCACCAAGCTCACTCGGACTGTGGAACATATGTACCACCCTTTTTTGCGCATCAAAACAGCAGTTTCTTCAGTCAGTGTTCAATGTTAAGGTATTCCTGTAATGTGAAATATGAGCAGATAGAAACCATTGCATAAATTTCATATCATCTGATAATTCACAAGGACTTTCAGAATGCGAGGCTCTCCCCTTCGTATTAGCTCAAACGATGCAACCTTCAATAGAAGTTTTCAGTCTCCGCAAACAGCTTCCCAAGAAAAGAAGCACTAAATTTGATAGAGGCCTGATTCTTCATCCGTGTAGTCCTTTTTAAATCAAAGTGAAGTAGAGCACATGAGCGAGTGGCCAAACCCTAGTAAAAATGTGCTATTTTTACTTTAGGGGGAGGAGACCTGTGGTTTGAGTAGAGGAGCAAGAAGTGCAAATCCCAGGTTCCAGTCATTGACACTGACTGATGCAATGTGTTGCTTTGAGCAATTCATTTATTTTCTCAATGCTTCTATTTCCTCCCCTATAAAATAAGATTAATAATATTTGTCTGTCTGACAGATGTGTTGATCTGGGTTATTGATTGTAAAGTGCTTTAAAGATGTGCTAAGTAGTATTGTGTTTTCCCTCTGCAACCTTTGTGTAATATGATAGTATCTCTAACATTAACTGAAGTATGGGGGGAAAGGTATTGCAGTTATAGCAAACTAATATGAACGGTACGGGCTGCCTTTGAATTCTTTCCAGCAAGATCTAGCTGACAGCCATGATGCTGGCATGTGTGCAGTCAGAAATTTACACCAGACTGTTGGATTCCTTATGCATGAAGACAAACTGTTGTTAATTGGTGTGAAGACCTGCATGATGCCACATACTCTATTGCATGGAATATCAGACTCAAATATATATAAACCGGTTGACCCCCAGTGGCTGAACCAAAGAGGGATATAAGCGTAGAAGCCTTAATATTAATATAGCTGATGGTGGTTCACCTGCTGTTTCGGAGCTGAATGTCCCAAATCCTGTTCCCAGTGGTTCAAATGTGTAGGTGAATTGACAGCCAGGATGTGTTCAGCACGCTGATTCCTTGAGTTTTCTGGCATGCACGGACAAATAAAGCTTTAGTGTCTCTTTCTCTAGGAGATGGTGCAGGCTTCTTATCTGACTTGTAAACACAATTCACCCTTGTGCTTGTGCAGTCTGCATTTCTTTTGGTCAGATGCTATAAATGCTCACTCTCGTCTGTGAGCTAGATTCGGACTGCAGATTAGGGCTGTCAAGCGATTAAAAAAAATAATCGTGATTAATCGCACTGTTAAACAGTAATAGAGTACCATTTATTTAAATATTTTTGGATGTTTTCTACATTTTCAAACAGTGACTTTAATTACAACACAGAATAGAGAGTGTATAGTGCTCACTATATTTATTTTTATTACAAATATTTGCACTGTAAAAAACAAAATAAATAGTATTTTTCAATTTACCTAATGCAACTACTGTAGTGCAATCTCTTTATCATGAAAGTTGAAGTTACAACCCAGTCCTACTTCTTGTTCAGCCAGTCACTCAAACAAGTTTGTTTACATTTGCGGGAGATAATGCTGCCCACTTCTTATTTACAATATCACCTGAAAGTGAGAACAGGCATTCACATGGCACTGTTGAAGCCGGCATCGCAAGATATTTACCTGCTAGATCAGGGGTCGGCAACGTTTGGCACACGGCTCGCCAGGGTAAGCACCCTGGCGGGCCAGGCCAGTTTATTTACCTGCTGATGCGGCAGGTTCAGCCGATCGCGGCCCCCACTGGCCGCGGTTCGCCGTCCCGGGCCAATGGGGGCGGCGAGAAGCCGCAGCCAGCACATCCCTCGCCCATGCCGCTTCTCGCCGCCCCCATTGGCCCGGGACGGCGAACCGCGGCGAGTGGGGGCCGCGATCAGCCGAACCTGCCGCGTCAGCAGGTAAATAAACTGGCCCGGCCCGCTAGGGTGCTTACCCTGGCGAGCCACGTGCCAAACGTTGCTGACCCCTGTGCTAGATGCACCAAAGATTCATATGTCCCTTCATGCTTCAGCCGCCATTCCAGAGGACATGCGTCCATGCTGATTATGGGTTCTGCTCGATAATGATCCAAAGCAGTGCAGACTGATGCATGTTCATTTTCATCATCTGAGTCAGATGCCACCTGCAGAAGGTTGATTTTCTTTTTTGGTGGTTTGGGTTCTGTAGTTTCTGCATCGGAGTGTTCCTCTTTTAAGACTTCTGAAAGCATGCTCCACACCTCGTCCCACTCAGATTTTGGAAGGCACTTCAGATTCTTAAACCTTGGATCGAGTGCTGTAGCCATCTTTAGATTTCTCACATCGGTACCTGTGTTTTGTCAAATCTGCTGTGAAAGTGTTCTTAAAATGAACAACATATGCTGGGTCATCGTCCGAGACTGCTATAATATGAAATATGTGGCAGAATGTGGGTAAAACCGAGCAGGAGACATACAATTCTCCCCCAAGTAGTTCAGTCACAAATTTAATTAATGCATTATTTTTTTAACAAGCATCATCAGCATGGAAGCATGTCCTTTGGAATGGTGGCTGAAGCATGAATGGGCATACAAATGTTTAGCATATAACCAGGTTTATGCTTTATTTGAACTAGCCTCTCTTCCTGTGTTCCTAATGCTGACTCTTTGATCCATGAAAATCAATGGGAGTTAGGTACCTAACTCTCTTAGGCTACTTTCAAAATCCTAGCCTAAGCTCCTTGAGAATACTGAAGTGGTTGTGTAAAACCAATAGACTAAGGGTAGTCTACACTGGTGCTGGAGGTATAATTTCCAGCTCAGGTAGACATACCCATGCTAGTGCAGTCAAACTAGTACACTGAAAATAGAAGTGTAGCTATGGTGGTGAAAGCAGTGTGAGGGGCTAGCCACCCAAATATGTACCTAGGGTCTCAGATGGGACTATATTTGGGCCGGCTAGCATCTCCTGCCACTCACACCACAGCAGCTACAGGTCTATTTTTGGTGCACTAGCTCAGTTAGACCTAGTGTGGGATGTCTACCCATGCTGGAAATTACACAAACAGCTCCAGTATAGACATACCCTTAGATATAGGTTCATGAAGGCTACGGTGGGTTTAAAAGGCAAGTCAGAGGACTGTTGTGGCCATGGAATGTCAGTGACATACTCTCTCTAATTATTGAGAATGTTATAACATTGTCCATTCGGTTTCCGTACTCTTTCGCAATAAAAGTCCTTGAAACTAAATCAACTAATGTTGATACAGTGAACTGGGCCATATCAAAGATCATCTAGGTCCTCTGCCTTCATCAATTTACTGCACTTCGAATTCTCTGTCTACCTCTGTTTGGGAACTCTGTCTCTCCAATCCTCACTTGACTATTTGTGTGCTAGGTTTGTTTATTTCTAGGCTCTGGAGAGTAAAAATTGTCTTCCTGAGATAATATGCAAACTTACAAAGGGGATCCTTGTTCTTTATGTTGTGTTCTGTTTCATACAGGCAATTGGAAATGCTAAAACAACCAGGAACGACAATAGCAGTCGCTTTGGGAAATACATTCAGATTGGCTTTGATAAAAGATACCATATCATTGGTGCCAACATGAGGACGTATCTGTTGGAAAAATCAAGAGTTGTGTTCCAGGTGAGTTATGCAACATTTTCCTTTGGACTCCTTAATTTTATTTTTATTTTTTTAGTGAACTTGCATTTTTTTTTCTTAAAGATAGATGTAGATACATTAAAACCTTCCCTTTTGTAAGTCAAACTTTTGGCAGACCCTGGCTTTGGAGACTAGTCTAACAAATTTTGACAGTTCTTCAGGGTTAGAGGCTGAGAACATATGATGGTGGTTTTGATTGTCAGAGCTGGCTTTGTATCAATGCTCGGTTTTTAAAAAGCTTTTTGAAACGTTAAGAACATAAAAATGGCCATACTGGTTCAGATCGCTGGTCCACCTAGCCCAGTATCCTGTCTTCTAGCAGTGCCAGATGCTTCAGAGGGAATGAACGGAACAAGGCAATTATTGAGTGATCCATCCTCTGTCATCCAGTTCCAGATTCTGACAGTCAGAAGTTTAGGGAAACCCAGAGCACGGGGTTGCGTTCTTGCCTTACTCATTACCCAGCTACACTGTAGATATGCTCGTGAAACATACCATGATTGGTTTGTACTTTGATTGTAAATGTAATAGCTGTCAGGGTACCTAGAGCTCATTTATCATTCTCCGTATTATTTTTGTAAATAAAATAAACGAACTGAATTGGAATGCAGAAAAAGAGATCACAGGATAAATGCAATGCATTAAGGCTCCTGTTACATGTTGCTAAACAAAGGTAAAGTAGAATTATGGCTGTAAATATATTAATCTAGGAAATAAATGTATTAGAATTTTGTAGTTATATTAAAAAGTAAAAGCCATAGAACTCTAAGTTAAGGTTAAAATAAAAAAATAAAATTAAAAAAAAGCCCCTCGGAAAGTCATAACACTTGTGTTGAGTGTATAGTAGAACCTTGCTAATCTGCAAATGTTCTGATTAGCACACCAAAAAGAGCAGTCCTGGCCCCCATTTCTCAGCAGAGATTTAATGAAAGGTGGGTACTGAAGTAAAAGTTGCATATTGGTAAGACGTTGTTCATTTGTGGTGGGGTTTTTTTTTTAATAGTTTGTTTGGGGAGCAATTTGCTTCAAACAATTCACTCCATAGTATTTTTATAACTCTTCTTTCCTTATCTGCAACCTCACTTTTCAAATTCAAATCCCACTATATAAATGTGTGTGTGTGTGTGTGTGTGTTTGTGTGTCACACACATATCCCTAACTTCCTACATGTGAGCAGACTTTTTAATGGAACTACTCATCAGCTTAAATTTGGGCACATGCTTAAGTATTTTTCCAAATCAGGCCATAGACTGTGTGTGTGTGTGTGTGTGTGTGTGTGTGTGTAGTGAGGATAGTCAGGATCATATGAGATACGCATTTGTTTTATGTATAAGTATGTGCATCATTAGGTTCAGTCTGTGCTTTCTATATCTTAACTAGTTGACTGGATCTGGTTCAGCAAAGCACTTAAGCATGTGCTTCTGTGTTTTGTTGAATTGGAGCCCAGGGCAGGGAATTTGCTGTCTTCTATCATTTGTACATTGCCAAGCATGCTTTCACGGCTCAAAGCATGATTCACAAATAATAAGAAGGTTTTGCATTTAAATATCAGCTTTGATCTTGAAGCATCCCCAAGCATCAATATTTTTACCTGTAGTTAACGAAACCTTTGCTTAGTTCAGGCACTCTTCATTCTTAAACATCAAGGTTTCTGCTATAGAGGGGAGTCTTGGCTGAGCCTTAAAGTTTCAAGGCTTTTGATGTGTGCTGTAACTCACCTGGACATGCATCTCTTCTGAGAGGCTTTGACACTTGACTTCATGAACTGCAGATTAGTCAATATCCTTACAGCATTTCACCCCTCCCCCCATAACAATATATCTTTACCTAGAAATTCCAGTAATTGGCAGGTTCTGTGACAGTGGCTGTGGTAAAGAGGCATAATCATAAGCAGGGTAGCAGTGCTCTTGTACTGTGGGTGTGATCCAAAGTAAAGATGGCTGCCCAGTGCGTTAAAGAGAGCTGGCTAAATCTTGTCAAACACTTTCTCTCTAAATCTAAAAGTGTTTGTTGGTTTAATAGTAAGGTGAAGGTAAGTGTTCATGTTTTTTCACTGTTAATTATATACACTACCACAATCAGTGTAGCTGCTTTACATTCACACAGGTAATATGTTTGTTGTTTTACATGAAAGAGTAATGGTTCCTGATTGCCTGCTCCATAGGTTGGGCTAGTAGGGACCAAGGGACACATTTACAAGGTTATTTAGGTGCCCAAAGATGCGGAGAGGTGCTTAGAAGGAGTTACAAAAGAACCTGATTTAGGCACCTACCTGCATCTTTGGGCACCTAAATGTCTTGGTAAATCTGTCCCTAAGAATGCCATGAAGGCAACATGCCCTTGAAAGGATGAAGCTTGTATTGCTTAAAACTGACCCTTGAGTTGCCTTTAGGAAGCCATGCTGACCACGTAGTAATGTGAAGTTGCGATGGTTGGGATGAACCTTGGGGTATGGAAGACCCTGCTGTGAGTGGCAGAAAAATGAAGACTGTTGACTGTCCTTAAGTCATTGGCTGTAAAGTAACTCCATGTTTTTGTTTTGTAGGCAGATGATGAACGAAACTATCATATCTTCTATCAGCTGTGTGCCTCTGCCAGTCTTCCAGAATTTAAAGACTTAGCACTAAGTAAGTACGCTACTCCTGCAACCCATTGGGATCTCTGAGGCGCTTGCTACATGCAGCCTGTTCTTTGCAATAGCAACAAGAATATACACTATTACTATAAATGCAGCCTTACAGAGTCTCATTGGTTAGATTCTGTGTGCCAGCTACAGAACTAGACATCTTACCAAAAAGTTTAAAACGGAAATAAATTTGGAAGGCTTGTTCTTGTCGATAGAGTGCATGTTTGTCCACAGCCCATCATCCGACAGTGTGGTGCATATCAGTCAGATTAAATCTCAAGGTTGCAATAGCTGAGCGGCTGGAGGCTAAGACTGAGGCTCCTTGCGAAGGCGTGTAAGGAATCTTATGCGGTGCTCTACCTGATGTCACTTTTGTGAACTCCGTTACTCAAAGTTTAAAATGGGAACAAATGACAAACCATTATTAGAGGTCACTCATGATGAATCTGAGTGAAATACATCTTATAGACGCTGCTTGTTAAAAAGTGACACTTTGTTGTGACACCAAGATTGTGGAGCCCGACTGATCTTTGTAAATGAGCGCATATCCTTGTTTAGCATCATTTGTTTTATTTAAAATATTATGGGTCTGATTTTTTTTAAGGGGCTCTGATTTGGTCTCCCTTTTTGCAGGAAAATGTTTGTGCTTATAATTAATTGTGCCATCAAACTTGTGTCCACAATTAACTGCTGGCATAAATCCTACTATTCAGATATTTAAGAACAGCACTGGGAGGAAAAATCAGTGTCTTAGGCATTTAAATAATATGACTTGTGCTCACACTTAAAAAGGGAAGCTAGTATTGCAAATATGTCCCCAGATACTCGTGTTACTAAAATTTATCAGGTGTGATGAACAAGGCAGCATGGAAACTTGTCATTCTTAGGCAGGGCTCTCAGACTGCTGGAGTTAGTGTTTCCTAGAGGATAGAGCGATGACTGGAAGTTAAAACTCCTGGGTTCAACTTTTCGCTTTGGTAGAGATTCCCTTGGCCTTGGGCAAGTCCATTGAATATCTCTGTGCTTCAGTTTAACCCTCTAGACATAATACTACTTTGGCTCGCAAGTCTGTTGTGGTGACTAATTAAGGTGTGCAAAGTGTACGGCGAGCCTTGGATGAAAAGTTCTGTACAAATGCGAAATATTATCAGTTGCTTATTATTAATTATGGTTCTTATTTAGTGTCAGAAATGTCACTTCCCAACAAAATGGTAGCCACCAGCTTCAAGCTCAGAAATTTCTATTGTAACTAGGAACATAGTTTTCGATTTATTTCACACTTCAGATATGTTGAGAATTGCTTCTTACCATGAGCTCTTGCAGCTTGCTATGCTAAACAATGGGTACTATTTCTTCCAAAGCTCTGCCTTTTTTTTTTCTCCCCAAGAGCTCAGAGCAATATACAAATATTGTTGGCAAAATGCAAACAATGAGCCCTAGAGATGGAAAAGGTATATAGAGCTGTGAAACTGCATTTTGTTCAGCGTAAGCAGGGCCAACATTGATATCTGAGCCAGCCTGAGCATACATGTTGTTGTTTGACGCCCACATTCAGGCATACAAAGAAGCAGAGAGATGAACAAAAAAGTGTTCTTTACTCCAGAAGGAAGAATGAGTCACTTGGACAAAAGACTGACAGCAAATATAAATGCACTTCGTGGCACCATCTTCTCTCATTTTGTTTCTGTGCTGTTCAATAGGGACAGATTGCAGAAGCCAAGGTAAAGATCTAAAAAAAAAAGTGTTTCCACTTTGCAGGAGTCGCTGGGCATGTGGCACTACCTGCAAGAACCGTAGCATATTAGAAGTCAGAATATTGTTGACTAGATACCTCAGTCTATCTGCCAGTCATCTGAGTGAAAGTCTAAGGTTAGAAGCCTTTTCAGAGCTCTGTCTGGCAGATCTCTATTCATATAGTCTGTTCTCACTATGAGTTCCTCGCAGATAGGGGTGGAAGACTATTGGAATAGAGATCAGCCATGTGAGTCTGAAAGGACACTGGCTTTGATCTCGGAGCTCATGGAAACGTCCTTAATCGACTCTTGTGTCCCAGTTATGAAATTGTCTTATAATAATTGAATTTCCATGATGCCTGCAAGCAATTAATCCTTAATGCATGGCGGCAGTAAAGTCTTGGTGTGTATCATTGTGTACAAATTATTAGAGATGCGATGAGCTTACATACCTGAATACCCAAATCTTACCTCTGGGTAACACAGAACTGTTTATAACTTCACTGCTTGACTCACCAGTCACTGGCCAAGCTCTGATCACCCCTGACCCATAAGGGTTTATGTAGACTAAGGTGAAAGGTGTTTCAGAATACGCTAGCTAGCACATTCTAATGCACACTTTCTAAAACTCTGGGATAGACAAGGCTAATTGTACTTCCACACCTGCTAGCTGGTTGATTTGAAGCTAAGAGGGAAGCTTAGGCTTCAACTTATCCATTTAGCCCCTGCTAAAGTGCAGCTTGCCTTGTCTGCACTAGATTTTGAGTATGCTAGCTAACGTGTTCTTTAAAAAAAAAAATCCTTCTCTTAGGTCTAGTCTAGACAAACCCAAAAGAGGGTGTGCATGTGTGTATTGCATCATGTTACCATCATGTGAATGAGTATAACATGACTGTAAAATGCACTGAATTGGTATTGAATCCATTGCAGGATAATAATGCTCAGCCCTGACAAAGAACAGCACTAACTTCACTCAGTCAATTCTCAGCACCCCTATGAGAGAGGCGCTAATTCCCACTTCACAATGGGGAAACAGAGAAGCTATGGCCTCCCTGCAAAAAGATGTTTTTTGTTTTTTTTTCATTGAGATAGCTATTTCGATGTAAAATCTTAGTGCAGACAAGGTACAGATAATTTTTACTTCAGTGTAGCTAATCCTGCTCCCCCATATGAAATTTACCTCAACTAGCTACGCTGAGGTAAAAGTTACCTGTGCTTTGTCTCCATTAGGACTTTACATCAAGATAGCTGTCTCCATGTAAATGACATACTTTTCTTTGGGCGGGAAGAGAAGTCAAAGCCAGAGAGGTTTAGAGAATTGCTAGACATGCAAGCCAGTGGCAAAGCTGGATTCGACCTGGAATAGAATAGATTAGCACTCAGGAGGCCCTGTCTCCCATTCAGGCAGCCCTGCTCCCCAATTCCCTCAGGCATTGGGCTTGCCAGGCACTAAGGCCTGGACTACGCCTGAAACTTAGTTCGACCTTACTACAATACTCTGAGCTGTGAAAAATGTCATTCCCTGTGTGATGTAGTTAGATTGACCTAATCTCCACCATAGATGCAGCTAGGTCAACGGAAGAATTCTTCCATCGAATTAGCCGTCGCTTCTTGTTGAGGTGGATGGACCTACATTGGTGGAAAAACCCCTTCTGTCTATACAGGAAGCGTCTACACTACAGCAGCGCAGCTGCAGCACTCTAGCTGTGCTGCTATCATGTAAACATACCCTAACTGTTCAACTTCACATGCTAACACCCAAAGTGTATGTATGGAGGTATCACTGTGACACAGACCATAAATTTCACAAGCTATAAAGATTTTTCAGAGGAAGGTTTTCAAAATCTGAGCTATGACAAGGCTGCAACAGAAGAAAAACTAAAAAGAGAGAGACAAGTTTTACTTCAGAGAGAGACTCTCTCTTTTTTTTAAATTACATTTTAGTCAAAGCCCTAGAATTCACGGTCGGGCTAGGAGCAGTCCCTATGGATCTTAAAACATGCCTTGATGTAATTAACACTGGAACAGTAGCAAGGCAGAAACACAGCTGGTGACCACACACACGCACTCTTCATAAAGCTTTAAACAGAAACCAAAAAACAATGAAATACCTTGTGGGCTAACCTCCCAGTGACACACTAGCCAGTAGCGCTGTATTGTGCTGGCTGTTTCCATTACAGGTTCTCCCTCCAGACACTGAAGTTGAAAGCCAGAGTCATAACAGTGTAAAGAAGCCCTCTTTGATTTGCCAGGGGAAAAACACTCTTTCACCCTTCAGTGCTGCCAGATGATATGAACAGACATTGCATTTTTAGGAGCATTGTTTAAAAAGACTTGTTAATTCCATTGCTCTCTGCATATTCCACACGAAAGGAATGCCAGCAGTCTAGGATGGTATCCAGGAGCCTTGCATAACTTCTCTGTCACCCAGTTAGGACTGGGCTCATTCATTACTTAGTTTTAATTTTCCATTAAAAATTAATAGCGGGCATTATTTAGCATGATACAATATAAAAACAGAACATGTGCACTGGCTGGCACATGGCAAGAAGAATGCCACTTTTCCTCTCCAGTGTGGACCTGGGCATACTGAACCACACTTTTTTCCTCCCCAGACAAGACTAGTAATGTGCTTGAACATCTTGAGAAGTTCAGATGCTACAGAGGTGCTGAGATACTAGGGCACCTAGTATCTGCTGGCATTCCTTTCGTGTGGAATATGCCGAGATCAATGGAATTAACAAGTCTTTTTAAACAATGCTCCTAAAAATGCAATGTCTGTTCATATCATCTGGCAGCACTGAAGGGTGAAAGAGTGTTTTTCCCCTGGCAAATCAAAGAGGGCTTCTTTATACTGTTATGACTCTAGACAGAAGTGCAACATGCAGAGCCTAGTGCAAAACACTTCTACACACTGATTATGTGGTGCAACACGCAGAGAGCTCATTACACAGCTGCTCTGTAGCCTCTCTTAGATGCCAGTTAATTTTCTGGGTTGTCTCTGAGGTGCTCATTTTGACATCTAAAGCTCTAAATGTTTTATGATTTGCTGACCTCAGAGACCACCTCTCTTCCCAAGTGAAAGCACTGCAGTTGGCTTTTGGTGGGGAGGGATAGCTCAGTGGTTTGAGCATTGGTTTGCTAAACCCAGGGTTGTGAGTTCAATCCTTGAGAGGGCTACTTGGGGGATCTGGGGCAAAATCAGTACTTGGTCCTGCTAGTGAAGGCAGGGGGCTGGACTCGATGACCTTTCAAGGTCCCTTCCAGT